TGGTCTTTAGGCATCTCTTTACAGTTTGCTGGCATCCTTCCTCATTCCATCTTGGGTAATGTGGCGTTTTCTCTTTCAGTAATTTATGAACCGCTTACATTCCTCTCTGAACCGTCTCTCCAATGCTCTTACATTCCTCTCTGAACCGTCTCTCCAATGCTGCAGCCATCGATCTCTCTTGTGGCAGTTTGTTGCTGGTAACCCCTCCCTGAACTTGAGTTGTGCCATTCTTTCCAACAGATGCGATCTTCTCTAAGGTCCGCCACTTTGCCATTTACCAGCCAGGTTCTGCTGAAGCTCAGTCTCGCCGTCCTTTGTTGGTCCTCATCCTCTGTCCATGATTGTTTGATCTTCCGCCACCTGCAGAGGATCTCCGCTTGCATCATCGTTTTGGTCTCACTCCAAACTTTTTCGCGTGAGTTGGCCACTCCTTCAATCGTCCTGCTGCATCTTTCCTTCCATATGACCCACAATGTCACCTTCCTTATGATTTCAAACCAAATCCTTTCTGCCTTCTTGAACTGTTCGGGAATGTTAGTCAGGAGGAGGAGTTGGATGGGTTGTTCAGGGAAGGGGGTTAAGAATAAGGAGTCCCATAGTATCGAGGCTCTTGCCCAATAGTCCGTTGCCTCCTTACAGTGTATTAGGCAGTGTATTATGTCCGCAACCGCTGTTTCTGTGCAGACCGTATACTGATCGGAACTGTTGGGGTCTGAACCTTTTCGTCTGATGTGTAGCCATTGATTCACTGGTAGTGCCGCGTACGTGATTAGCCATTGAGGACTTCTGATTTTGATTGGTCTGATGGACTTGAACTTCTTCCACTGAATCTGAGTGAATTTATCTGCCTCCTGTCCTAGCAGAGTCCGCCATCTTTCTTTGATGATGGGGTCAGGGTCTTTTGAGTAGTAATTTGTATCCCAGTTTAACTGTATATTCGTGAATTGGGATCTTGGACTTGATATTCTTGGTTTTATCAGGTGGCCATGTCCACTCTGCTGGGTCAAATTCCAAGTTGTGAATCGCTGTGTCAGGTCTGAAGACGGATTTTGGCCAAGAACCAAGGACTCTCACCTTTCTAAGTAGGAAGAAATATAAGACTTCGGACTCTACTCCACTGTTGACAATGGCTGGCATGCTGGTAGCGGACCAGGAAACCGGAAAGGAGGAAAAGGTGGCCTTAGTGGACGAGTTTTGTTGCACGTGAGAGAACTGGAAGGCTTTGGAAGGAATCGTTTCTTGTATCAGAAGCCCCCACTCTCCTGGTTTCCAAGGTGTAGCTTCAGTCAATATGGCCTTCCATTCTTGAGGGATGAGGTTAAGGATATATTGGAGATTAGGCCTTCGTTTATGGAATCCTTTCAGTTGGGAGCTGATTTCTTGTTCTGTCTTCCATTCTGTTTTCCCCTCATTCCACAGGTGGACGACTTTCCATATGCCATTTTTGACCCAGGAGAGTCATCTGTGTTCCAGGGGAAGGGGGTTGTCGTTCTCGTTAGTTATCCATTGATTCCCGAAAAGTGGCTGTCTGAGAACTTCGTCCTTGGATTTAGGTCTATTAGATTTGTTAGGCATTATTCTTCTCCAGATTCGGAGTAGCGTTGACCAATATGGAGTAGGAGGTCTGTAACCTTCTAATCCTTCATCCCCCCTTCGATTTCTTTGCCCTGTAGTCATGGCCCATTCCTTGTTCATTACCCAGAATTGCCCTGACATGTCTTCTGGAGAAGGTGTTGGTGCCAAGGCTCTGATATTGTCCAGGGCTAGTTTATTCCATGTAGAGTCAGGATTCATCAAAAGTTTAATAATCCATTTGGTCTGTAGGGCTTTCGTCTCTGTTTCAGGGTCTATAATTCCTGGACCTCCTTTCTGTGGACTTCTCGTGACATAATGCCAGACAATCTTGGGTATGCCATTTTCTTTGTTAGGGTCTCCTGTCCAGAGATAAGATTTGGCTTTACGATTCAGTTCTTTGATAGAGCTATCCGGAACTGTCCATATATAGATGCTATGTACCACATCATTGAAAAGACCGATGTGTTTATGACCAGGGCTCTACCGATGAGGGATGTGAAGACATTACCCCATTTTCCTATTTTGTTGATTTGTTTGGTTAATATGTTTTGACCCATTTGGGGTGCCAGGCCCTCTCTTGTCATAAGTATACCCAAGTATCGGGTCGGTAGTTCTGGCGTTTCCCAAGTCATGGCTGCTTCCTCCCCTTGCAGTTGGAGGGGTTCCTCATCTGATAGCCACCATCCTATTGTTTTCCCCCAGTTAATCTTCATTTCGGAGGCCAATCTGAAAGCTTCCATTGCCTTAGCCAACGTCCTAAAGGATGAATCTGAAGCTCTAACCAGCACGGTTAGGTCGTCTGCAAATAGGATAGCTGTCGGGAAATCTATCCGATGGGCCGAACCTATGTTGAGGACAGGGAGCCTATGGATTGAAGGGTCCTTGCGCAGAAAGGATGCGATGGCCTCCATTACAAAAAGGAATATCGATGGGGCCAGTGGGTCTCCTTGTCGAACTGAGCGGGATATCGGGTAATAATCTGATAGGAGTCCATTAACTTGGACACAGCCGACTGCATCTCTGTAAAGTATGCGAACCCATTTCCTGAAGTTCGGGCCTACGCCCATTTTCTCCATACATGCTTCCATGAAGTCCCAATTCACTTGATCATAGATTTTTTCGAAATCGAAGAAAAGTATGGTTGTGTTTATTCTTCTTTCCCTAATCTTCCTCGCTGCCTCATTCAATGTTAGCACGTTGTTTAGAATGTATCGACCCGGGATGAAGCCTGTCTGGTCGATGTGAAAGCATTTATTTGTTAGTTTAGAGATCCGATTGGAAAGAGTTTTCACTAGAATCTTGTATGGGAGTGTTAGCAGAGAGATTGGTCTATAGTTTTTAATGTCTGCCTTATCGCCCTTTTTGTACAGTAGAGTGACCACGTTGCTGCTGAGTAAGTTCCCTAGTCCCCCTCTGAACTAGCAGTCGTTATAATAATTGAATAAATCCGCTCGTAAAAGGGGCCTGAATTTCTCCCAGAATTCTTTCGTTAATCCATCTATCCCTGGTGTCTAACTATTATTCATTCCTGTTAGTGGTTGGTGCAATTCCTTTGTTGTGATAGGTTGGTCTAGCTCCTCTGCCTGCTCAGTTGTTATTGTCTTCTCCAAATATTGGAGCATTTTTCTCCTTGCTTGGTTTGTGCTGGGTTAGACTGGTAGAGGTTCTTGTAGAAATCCTTGGCTATTTCTAACATTCCTTCACTGTCCGTTTTCAGACTCTATGGGGCTGTGATAGATCTGAGGCTTTCAATCGTATTAGCTCTTGAGTTAGCCTTGATTCGGGCGAAGAAATGTTTAGTCATTGAGTCGCTAAGTTCATATTCGCACATTCTGACTTTTATTTGTAGCCCTTTCAAATCCCACCATTTCCACGTTGCCAATTCCTCA